TATTTTTAATAATTTCCTTAAATAGCTCTATTTTTATCATATTTGAAACCTATTTAATTTCTATTCGAGTACATCAATTAAGTATTTGTTTAGAAATATATCATGAATAGGAAAAAAATATGGTTCCACTTGGATAGAAAAAAAATAGTTTTCTACCCCAATTAAAATAGGAAAAACCTCGAAAAAATATAATAGTAAAAATAGGAAATAAATACTTTGACAAATAGGAATTAAATAGCCCAATAAAATAGGAATTAAATAGCAATTAAATAGTGTTTGGTTCTACGTAAAAGAACAGTAATCATTGACGCCAGATTGATATGGATTGAGTAAGCATTTTACGGAGCGATAAAACAACCTCCATCTTGCTTGGTGACTCATGGTGACTTGCTTGGTGACTACCAACTGTTGAAATATACACTATACTCGATATTTTAGACAATTAAAATTGTGCTGGACATCCCTCATCATCAATTGTCATGTGAAGTAATTTCTTTTTCAAGATTTACTTGTTTATAACAAGAATCCTTTTAAATTTTGATTTTTCTACCATTCCGTCCGAATGCTGTTATGTCTTCCATCACCATTTGGTTTTCCCGCAGTTTGATGGTTGGTTTAAAAGATGTTCCTGAGGGTTAACAGAACATCCCAATCCAGTTCTCAATTTGTATAGCTAAATTTTCCATCATTTTCTTTGCTGAACCCACTTGCTGCTAAAAAGGATGTTTAAGGATGCACACGACAGTTATGGCACTCATTGTGCTTACCAAAGGTGCATGCAGACCAATATTTTAATACCACAGTTTTTTGTATACAATCAATTGTCGATACCAAATTACATGATTCAATGGTAAAATAAAATTATCTGTAACTGTATTCTTGTCCTTTTGCTCCAAGTTTTACATTCGGTAAACATATTCGGCCCAAAATAAGCTCTCAAACTTGGTAGGCCTTGACATGTGATTACAGTACCTAAAATGCAGCACAAAAACAACCTCATTAATATTAATACCAAGAAGCATTAAAATAATAAAATTATAACAATGAAGCAAGAAATAATCTATTGATATCTGTACTAAAATTGGGTAGAGGAAATTGATCTCTCGATATAATGTTGTAAATTTGCAATTTTGCAATAATTACTAATTACATTGTATTAACAATGATTTGCCCCTTTAATACTGCAACATTTCGACTTATAGTAATATAGTAGAATCAATCATTCAATGATAGAAAAATACTTACATCCTCAGTTCACCATACACAGCTACTAAGTGCATCAGAACAAACGTTTGAATATCTGTTTATAAGATGCCAAGAATCCAAATACGATTCGAAGATGACTGTTGACATTGGTATTGATTATTGAATGCATGAATGTGTTCACGTTTTATCGTCGTCTTTATCGCGCATTTCTTTACCCCAGTGAATAATGTTTCATTTAATGTTTTCTGTCTACCATTGTCCGTTATTTTTAACCAAATGTTAAGAAATATATACACAAAAGTAATCAATATTTACGAAATATTGAAACACATTTTTCAATTTGCTCTGTTTGAATCGGTAGTTCTCGACAAAACGCATACACGCGCATAAATGTTCATGTATATCCGCTGCAAAATCATCTAGAGATGAGCCTGCATTATTATTTTATATTAGGGAGGGGAGGGACAAAAGTATATTAGCAAAAACATGAAAAATATGAAGGATGCTGCCTTTCGTTACCATGGCAACCAAGCTAAAAATTATAGTGAGGTTGTTTAAAACAGCTCCTAGGAGAACAATTTTTTTAATTCAACCAAATAAATACTTTCACAACATCAATTACATGCCACAGTAACTATTTAGCTCGATTTTTTCGAGTGGTTTAGGTAGACCCCCACCTTAATAGAATTATAACTAGTGTAAGTTGAGCTTGCAACCAACGTGACGTCATAAATTAGCGGACATATTCACACTCATTTACATACCAAACAAATTGAAATATCTCGGTAACAAACCATTAAAACAAGAAACTGAAAAATAAGTTACACTACAGCTTAAAGAGTTCTTTCATTTAAGAAAATAAAAAAAATCATGTCATATGCACTTTAAAGCACAGGTGAATGGGATCACTATTCAGGAATGACGGACACATGTTTATAGGGTTGCGCTCATTGTGCGCACCCCCGGTACAAATAGGGTTATAATGTTTTTTTATAATTTAATCGTTGTCGTGCTGGTTTAGGTCAGCGTTAAAATTTCAGTAGTAAAATCCCATGCCGTGCTTTGTGTTGTCGATTTTATTCATATCTGCAATTTTTTTTAATCCATTCTTAACTCGATAGTTCAAGATAAAATGTTTCAATGCAAGCTGATTTACATGAAATTGCAGCGATTGTTATCGTTAACGCATTAAGCTAGCGCAACATGTATTTTCATGTTTATAATATATGCTGCCCTTGTTACAGTGTGTGTTTTATATGTAACAAAATCCCCAAAAATATCACATCCAAAATCTATTTACAAAAGGAACCACCAAAAATGGGTAAAATATTAGCATTTTTTGCTAGGTGTGAATTTAACTATTTTGTTATTTTTAGGTTAAAGAAAGATAAAAATTACTAATAATAAAACTAATCGGATAAGGGCTATTATTCGACAGAATTTCTGAGGATGGCGCCCTATCAGCGCGCCCCCGGTCACATCAACGTGAACGCAACTCCAGTACAAATTAATAGGGTTAATTTAAGGATTAAGTGATTCAATCATTCGATTCAGTCTTATGATTCAATTATTCACCCTAGGATTCAATGATTCAATTTTAGGATTTAATGATACAATCTGGGATTCAATTATTCAATATTAGGATTCAATAAATCAATCTTTGAATTCAATAATTCAAAGTAGGATTCAATTATTTAGTTTCACGATTCAATGTTCAATCTTTTAATTCAATAATTCAATCTAGGATTCGATTATTCAATCTTAGGATTCGATTATTCAATTTTAGGTTTCAATTATTCAATCTTAGGGTTCAATGTTTCAATTTTAGGATTCAATGATTCAAACTTAGGCCTAAGTGGTTCAATCTTGTGGTTCAATGATACAACCTTTGGATTCAATTATTCAATCATAGAAATCAATGATTGAATTTTAGGATTCAATGATTCAATCACAGGGTCGATGAAGGGGTTTACTAAGGAAGCGAAATGGGGCACAATTTCGCATTCGGCTAAGCAACTTTTTCGCCGTTTTGAGAGTAGTGACTATTGTAACGTTTATATTTTATTTATCTTATGTATAAACTACTTCTAATTTTACTTTATAACTCAACTCTACTCAGTGCTCGCTCAACGTTCCTTCCACGTTCAATGTGCTTGTATGCATGCATGAGTCACATGATATCCTTACATTACCCATACAATAAGAAAGTTAATATTAATCAACAGTTTGAACAAGTCTACTGTCATAAGATAAAGTCAACTTTAAAATTGAAGTCTTATAACAACTACTAAGTTCTTCTTAACTCCTAACATGCTTTCCTTATCTGTTAAGTCTACGTTAAAGCGAGCGGACGTGCCTTATCTGCTCCGTTAAATCTCGGACAAATTTATAGTATACGAGTTTTAATAACGCTCAGTACCATTGTATTCCGTTATTAATCGAAATTCATAATCTTTTGATGTTTAACACCTAAAGTGCCACCGAAAAAGAATGCAAAAACGATTCAGTATGTGGTCGTGGTGTCAGCCTCCGAAGACGACAAGCTTAATATGGCGTCGTTTTTTTTCAAGCTTGGAAGACTTCCTTGATCAGCGATTGAAACAACAATCGGAGCTCATCAACGACCTATTCATGAAATATTTCAATTAGTTTTGTACGAACTTAACAATGGTCCAATAAACTTTGACTTAGATCGATTAAATACATGATATTTAATCCTTTATTATCTTGTTGTCACAAAAGTTTAGCCCTCTCTACCGATTTGGAGCCTGATTCTAATTTCTATACGAACAAGTTCAAATGTGATTATTACACAGAACAGAAATTTAACGAGATGATGACAATTACAACACCTACTAATTCGCATATTGTTTATCTTTTCTTCATTTAAATATGCGTATTCTCACTCGTAATTTTAGTAATTTGACAAATTTGCTCGCTAATATTGATAATAGGTTTTCTGTTATTGGCATCTCCGAAACATGGTTATCTAATCCACAACACACTTGTGATATAGAGGGTTATAATTTTGTGCACAATCGTCATAGTCATAGAACCGGTGGGGGCGTCGGTATTTATACTTAGCTTCTGAATTGGAAATCAAGTATCGTAATGATATAACTTTTGATGATGCATGTATAGAATCAATCTTTATAGAAATGTGTCGTCCCAAGGGGAAAAACATTATTGCGGGCGTTATTTATAGGCCTCCACACCTGAGCGTGGGTAAATTCGTTAAAAGTACTGAGATTTTAATGACAAATACAGGGTGTACTGTATAAAAAAACTGAACCCTTTCAAATTCAAATTAGCTATAACGTATTGTAGTAATATGACAGCTCTATGGTGGCCCAGGTGTGCCACGTACTTTTTTGTTTATGAAATCCAATTTTAACTTGATTTCAATTTTAATTTCAATTTAATTTCAATTCAATTCTAATTTCAATATAGTTTTAATTTAGTTTATTTTTATTATTTTTTTAGTTTATTTTTTTTTTATTTATTTATTTTATTATTTATTATATAGTTTTAATTTAGTATTAATTTAATTCAGTTTAATTGTTTTAAAAAAAAAAAAAATAAAATGAATTGAAAATAATACGTGGCCCAGGCGTGCCATTCCGGGGGGGACTTAACTCCACTTAATGCATCCGCAAACCAGACAGATCGCGGTCACCAAGTAACTATGGTTACACTTCAGTCTTCAACTCGTGCAAGAAATATAAATACTTTAATAGTATTTCAGTTCTATAAACTTTCAAATAATTCTATATCTATTATCTAAACCAACGAAAATGTCAAAGCGGAAGCAGTGGGATGTGTTTAAGAATAAAATGTCCCGCAAAAGGATGGGAAAAAAGGAAGAAAAAGAAGAGACTGAGTATTTGACAGTACAGCGACTATCTGCCTCTGTCGAAGGAAAGGCACAAAAATATACAAGAATTGGCCCATTGACAATGGTACCGTTTCCACATGAAGATAAGACAATGGAAAATATCAAACACGCATGCAAAGACCATTTCGAGATTGATAAAGGATATCAATGTGACGTTCTTGCGGGGGAGAGAGGACCATCTTATACAAATGTGAATCAGATTAAGAACTGGAAACTTATTCACATCCGGTTTGTGGAAAAAGAACCCGAGCTGAGAAAGAGCAGAAGTTCTAAAGAAAAGGAAGACCACACTCAAGCACATAACCTGTCACTACCAATATCATATGTCAACGTGCCTAGTTGCTCCAATATTGCACCGTCGTCTCGGTCTGTATTCCCTCAGTCTGTCCCTCTCAGTCAACTCATTAAGATCGGGAAGTTTATCCCACCGAAAAAGGACATTGTCACTTTACAGTTAGAAGCATTTGATGTTGAGAGAAGAAGCTGGAAAGATCCAGTGGAAGTAGTGTTGTCAATTAGCGTTGATAAGTTTGCAAGTGGTGCCTGCCGTGATGCATTTTTAGCTTTTTAGCTACTGGTCTCAAGGGATTGGATGGAAAGTTTGTGGTCAAACGTTATAGGTCTGATCGGGTTGCAGAGCTTGTAGAGCATTTTCAGTCCCTTGATGCGCACACTAGAAAAGTGGTACAGATGCATGCTCTTGCTAGGCACTTTTCATTATTGTTGCGTGATGGTGCTCCTCTTCAATTCGGCGATACATTCCTCTATACCAAGCTGTACTATGCAGAGATGAAGGGTGAGTTTGTTACAGTAGAGTCCTACATTGAAGGAAGTTTCAGAAAATATGTGAATAACACTGGCGACATTGTTCTAAAAGATGGCAGTGAAATTGCTATGAAGGCAGAATCGTTTGTCCATTACTCTTTTGTCAAATCAGGAAAGCAGCTTATAATTGTGGATCTGCAAGGCGTAGGATTTGTGCTTTGTGACCCAGAAATAGCAAGTAGCGAGTTATATGATGAAAGTGATGGCATCTATTTCTGTGCTGGAAATCTTTCAACCAATCCAATAGAAACATTTTTTGTACAACACAAATGCAACAAGTACTGTGAACTATTATCTTTGGACAAGCCATGAAGATGTACAATAATGTGAAAACATGTGAGGTACATGACTGTTAGTTGTTTAGTATGTTGCACATATAATTGTGTATATTTGTGTTATTAAGAAGCAAAGTCTGAAGACATTCTCAGAACTTCAAATATTTAAAATTAAAAATGCTTTATAATAGGAGATTACCGGATAGAGCATTTCTACTATACTATCTGGCCAGATACTGTGCATGGATATGCCAGATAGTTGAAAGCTGTCTGGCCAGATTATCTTGCTGGATAATATTGTTATAGGTTCAGGCCAAATCATTCAAGGTTAATTTCAATAGTTATTTGTATTGGTTATAATTATTAGTGATGGTGTTAACTGTTTAGAATATATTGACTTGAAATGATGAGAAAAAACTTCACAATCCAACATCGATTCATATGCATGGTTGGAAAAGTCTTGTGAGCAGTCCAGTTGCAAGTGAGCATGAAAAATCAGATAATATTGCAATTGCCGGCTTGTCTACACTCATTCAAGTAAAAACATAATAAATATGCATACTTCTTGAACTATATTACATCATTTTTAACCTGAAAAGAAGGCCAGAACCTCAACGGGCCAGATATCCAGTGCATGAATATGATATTTGGTGCATCCCTACTTTGTACATATTTTATACCTATATTGTCACTATGAATAAATAGATAATAAATAGTTCAAAAATAGTGATAATATAATTAATTGTGTAAACGTTCTCTGATTAAAAAAGATTTATTTATTAACAAGCTTTCGACTGCCAGTCTGCAGTCTTCGACGGGTAGATATATAATGTGCTAGTGATATAAGATATGATACAGAGTGAATAGTGCTATACAAAAGCGGTTTACAATTACATTTACTGACAAAAGACAATTACTGACAGTTCCGCCTGCGTAAATATATTGTGTAGAATTTAAAGTTTTTTGAGCAAAAAGCGATATTGTTCTGGCAAATGTTTTGAGTTGTTATCAGCGTCTTTCATGCATGCAGTGTGCCAAGACTCTAACGTTGATCTGTGTCGATAGCTTCCCTTGTCAATTATTTTTCCGTTCTTAAAATCAATTCTGTGGTCGTTTGCCCACGCATGATTCGCGATATTAGAGCCACTCTTGCATTTTTTCACGTTTCGTTCGTGCTCTTTTTTTCTTGTTATAAAGGCCCTGCCTGTCTCGCCAACGTAACTCCACGAGCAATCTGAACAGTTAATTTGATAGACGACGTTCGTCTGGTTCTCAGGTAGTGGTCGGTCTTTTGTTGAGGGAAACATTTGTTCTAGAGTGCGGAGGGGTTTCGTAGTTACTCGGATATCGTGAGGTTTCATAATGCGTCTAAGAGGTTCTGTTAGTCCTTTGATGTATGGAAGGACGGCGTAACTGCGATTGGTCTTCGGTTCTACTAATTCAAAAAACGATCTTACAAGTTCTTCGGGTGGCGGCGTTCTGTTTTCAAACATGACACGTTTCTGTTCAACTTGTTGCAAAAATTTCTTAGGATAACCGTTTGACATTAATGTGTGGGTAACATGTTTGCGTTCTTGTTGTTTGCCTTCCTCTGTGTTTGGTAAAGTTGCTGCCCTATGTAGGAGAGTTTGTGCAGTGCTGACTTTGTGTCGTTTGTCATGGTGTGAGTTGTAGTCTAAGTACCTGTCAGTGTGTGTAGGTATTCGGTATACGTCAATAGAAAGGGATCCGCGCACTCGAAAATCGTTGGTTTCCCAAGTCTCTACGATTCAAAGCACCTGGTAACCAACAAATATTCAAACGCATCATGGAACGTACGAGCATCCACTGCATGCGAGCAAGGATTAGCATTTGCCATGAACAGATCAGATCAACCAACCGCATCATTACCGAGAATCGTAATAAACTACAATCGTGTATTTCTAGCGACTCCTACTCCCGGCTTTCCCAGTTCTTAAAACACCGAGCTAGATCCGTCCAAAGCAACATTTCCGCCAGACATGAAAAGAAACTTGGAAATCTGAACAGTGAATGCACACCTGATCGACTAACACTTGATCGCGAGAAATGGGTAATCAACCTATCCAGCAAGCCCTTATCAAGCAGCGAACGAGCCATCCTGGAGAAAGGACCTAAATTTGCTCCAACGCCATCACAAATTCCCCACAAAGATATAGTTGCCGAGATCGAAGCCGCAATTACAGACCTACCTGACGAATCAAAGGATTCCGTTCGAACATCAGCGGCAAACCTTCTACGACGGTGTCAACTACCGAGTCACAAGAACACCTCGGCAAACGAACGCAAAGCAATTAATGAACTCAAGAAAGATAAAACTCGATTAGTAACGAAAGCAGACAAAGGGAACTGTTTTGTCGTGATGGATCGAAGCGACTACGACAAAAAGATGCAAGTTTTACTAGACGATCAACAAACTTATGAGAAAGTGCTTAAACCTCCATTTAAGAGAATTGAACGTGAACTGAACGCACAGTTATTGCAACTTAAACGCGAACAAAAACTCGACGATGTCACATGCAAAAAACTACACTCTACTGACAGCATACCACCTGCCATAAGAGGCTCGGTCAAACATCACAAACCTAACAATCCACTCCGCCCCATAGTTACTTGTAGGAATACAGCTCTTTACAACACGTCTAAATTTCTCGCAAATATTCTTTTACCTCTACAAAACCACAATAATTACTCTGTTAACAACTCTACTGACTTCGCCAAGAAACTTACTGAAACGCACATTGACGATGATGAAATCATGGTGTCTTTTGACGTTGTATCGTTGTTTACAGCAATACCAGTAGATAAAGCATGCGAACATATCCGCAACAAACTCACGAAAGACAAAAACCTACATGTTAGAACCAAACTCTCTGTTGAAGATATTATTAAACTTTTACGTTTTACTCTTACTAACAGCTATTTTAATTACAACAATATAACGTACAAACAAATCCATGGTTGTGCTATGGGTAGTCCCGTTAGCCCTATTGTGGCAAACCTCTGCATGGAGGAAATTGAGGACTTAGCACTAATTACATCTTCTATGCCACCTAAGAAATGGTTTCGTTATGTTGATGACGTATTTTCCATCATTAAAAAACACGCGTTAACCAATTTCTACAAATTACTTAACTCTATCGACCCACACATTAACTTTACCATTGAACAGGAACTTGACGGAAAACTTTCATTTTTAGACACTTTAGTCACACGAAATAACGGATCCCTTTCTATTGACGTATACCGAAAACCTACACACACTGACAGGTACTTAGACTACAACTCACACCATGACAAACGACACAAAGTCAGCACTGCACAAACTCTCCTACATAGGGCAGCAACTTTACCAAACACAGAGGAAGGCAAACAACAAGAACGCAAACATGTAACCCACACATTAATGTCAAACGGTTATCCTAAGAAATTTTTGCAACAAGTTGAACAGAAACGTGTCATGTTTGAAAACAGAACGCCGCCACCCGACGAACTTGTAAGATCGTTTTTTGAATTAGTAGAACCGAAGACCAATCGCAGTTACGCCGTCCTTCCATACATCAAAGGACTAACAGAACCTCTTAGACGCATTATGAAACCTCACGATATCCGAGTAACTACGAAACCTCTCCGCACTCTAGAACAAATGTTTCCCTCAACAAAAGACCGACCACTACCTGAGAACCAGACGAACGTCGTCTATCAAATTAACTGTTCAGATTGCTCGTGGAGTTACGTTGGCGAGACAGGCAGGGCTTTTATAACAAGAAAAAAAGAGCACGAACGAAACGTGAAAAAAATGCAAGAGTGGCTCTAATATCGCGAATCATGCGTGGGCAAACGACCACAGAATTGATTTTAAGAACGGAAAAATAATTGACAAGGGTAGCTATCGACACAGATCGACGTTAGAGTCTTGGCACACTGCATGCATGAAAGACGCTGATAACAACTCAAAACATTTGCCAGAACAATATCGCTTTTTGCTCAAAAAACTTTAAATTCTACACAATATATTTACGCAGGCGGAACTGTCAGTAATTGTCTTTTGTCAGTAAATGTAATTGTAAACCGCTTTTGTATAGCACTATTCACTCTGTATCATATCTTATATCACTAGCACATTATATATCTACCCGTCGAAGACTGCAGACTGGCAGTCGAAAGCTTGTTAATAAATAAATCTTTTTTAATCAGAGAACGTTTACACAATTAATTATGAATCCTGGTTTCGCTTCCAACATTTTTAAAAGTGATAATATAGTTTAAAAATAGATAATACATAGTTCAAAAATAGTGATAATATAGTTTAAAAATAGATAATAAATAGTTAAAATACATCCCAGCTTGTTAAAAATAGATAATAAATAGTGGATATAATATTGCCCAAATAGATTAAAAATAGTTAAAAAATAGTAATAACATATTAAACATATAGTTAAAATATGTCCTGTTAATACAGTTAAAATAGTTATTAAATATAGTGTATACAAATACATATAGCCTATAAATATTTTTAAAATATATTATAAATACCAGTAGTTAAAACATAGATAATAAAAAGTTAAAACATATAATGTAAATAGTCTTTAAATAAAATATAATTAGTAAAAAAAATTGAGAACAAGTGTAGAAGTGCTGAAACATCAGAGGCTATTACAGACCTTACTTTAGTATTTACCGTCTGTAAATTCCAGACAATTTTACTTATCAGTAGGTAGAGGTCTGTCAATAAATGAGTTAAAAATCTGTAGTTAGCAGTCTCTTTGGTAGCCAAAGAGTTAAGTATATACATACGGTAACTTGGCTGGGGACAGGGCAGAAAAAAAGCAAGAACATCATGTAACATCAAGAATAGGGCGAAGCTCAGCTGCACCTAGTTCAGGCCTCTTTACAGGTTAGAAAAAAACATTTATATATTTGAATAATACCCTGAATCTAGCTGGGTATTTTTCAACTATCCAACATATACCCTGTATGGAGCTGCATAGCAAAAACATTCTATCCTGCACACCCTACAAAGAACTTCATTCTTCAAGTAAGGTAAGAGCAAATTGCTCCTTTATAGGTGTTAATATTTAGGTGAGATATGGGCGAACATGCCACAGTCGGTAAGTAAAATTGTCTAGCATGAAATGTCAGAGTTAAATAATAATATCAAAGTACTTAAGTAGGAAGTGTTTGATGTCAACATGAAACATGGGGAGAGTCTAGTACGCTAGCTAGACACTTCCCTTGATGAATAAAATTGTCCGGCATTAGGCAAGATAACATTTAATAACAAAGTGCTGAATATTGGGCTCATTGGAGTGAAATGGGTAATTCCAAAAACAATCAAACCCTTGCCGGGGTGTCTCTAAAATATATAAAATGTAGCCCAAAGGTTGTTACATATATTATTAAGCAGAACATGTGGTGTATTAACTAAATGTATTCATAAGTTTGAACAAGCAAACTAAGGACTTTAACTGTTTTCAGTTAGGGACACATCTATAATCAAGTTGCCACATATGACAACAACACATCAAATTGATATTTTTATCTATCCTAAACTCACCCACCTATATATGAATAAATATTGGAAACTTATGAAAGTACCAGTTAATTTGAAACCAGTCGATAAATTTTCTCAAACCATGTTTAGCTGGGACATGTCTGGGTAGGCATATGAGAATTGAGTAGATGCCATCATGTCAAGCTATATTATTTTATACAACAAACACTGGAATCTGGCAATCTGTCATATACACTATAGTATACACAAAGATCAAAGTATACTATTTGGCATTACAATAAACATCATTTATAAATATAAAGGCTGAGTCAAATGTAAGCCATTCTATAAAACTAATGTTGTTTTAATTCAAATATTGTCGCAGCAAATTGAAATTTTAAGCCGGAACATGTGCTCAAAATTCACGAATGAAGATAGTAAATATTTCCTTTCAAAATTGCTCTATTTATATATAAAACATAACAAAATTCTTACCTGGATGTTTCCCAGTCATCCCTGATCTTTTATCTTTACAATAAGTAACAATTTCGCTCAATAAAAGCTCTGTATTTGAGCCATTTCGAGCGGAATGTTTAAAACAAAAAATTTTTAAAATATGGCGTTGTGAATTGTGACGCTATCCCAGAAAGCTTTGCGCGCGTTGTAAGAAAATTAGGCACCAGTCTGTCAAACTGCGCTCGTCGTAAGAATTTTTGGTGGTATTCATGGCATGGTGTTTTGTCAAAAATGCTGTTTTGTCAAGAGACAAAATACCTACCTCCACAAAGTCCACAAAGACTATAAATATTTTTGTGAATATAATTTCAATGAACTGATGAAAAATTTAAAATTAACTAACTCAAACTGGGAAATTTTGACCAGTTAAATAAATACATTTACCCTTTCTAAATTCTCACAACTTTCTATTTGAATAGGAAATAAATAGCTTTTAAGATCTAATTATTTTGCTATTTCAGTGCCTTTTTTAACTATATATCTGGGGGGAAAGAATCCCTCCCCTGTAAAGCCATTTCTCCCCCAGAAGTGCGAAGCAGAATTGCTCATGATTGCTGTCAGAATCGCAGTTGATTTACTTGATAATGAGATTATGCCCTTCCATAGCCTCCTCCACAGCTATCTTGTGTGTAATTCATATTGTTCTTCACCGAGTATTTCATAATAGCGATAGATTTCATGCAAACAATCCGATAAAATGCTGGTTCCAAGAAGAATAGATTTAGTTTAGATTTTTTACTGTTAAATACATGTATTCATCATCATAGCACGAATGTTTCTTCTCAGATTTATTCTGTATCGTATGAAAAAGCAACGCAATTTTGAGAATGCGGAAATGGTGTCTCATAGAACCGAAAATGATTTAAATGCAACATTTCTGATCAAAATCACATAGGGATCCCCCCCCAGCATCACAGAGAGGAACTATAAGGTGACACTTATTTAATTCCGGGTAGAAATGTCTGGAAAATTCATGTCTTCGATGTACTTTATAATCTTCGGAACTCTTCGGAATTTCACTCCCAAAATGCTTGAAATCGCTTGCAATTCAAGGACCCTAGATTTGAAAATTTCCCCGGGGGTGCATGCCCCCGGACCCTCCTAGACTGTTCGACCCTCCCCCCCCCAAAAAAAATAAAAAAATTAAGGTCTGGCTACGCCACTGGTTATAGCTGTACGATTATAGCTACAAAGGGTTGAAGTTATTGTCTATATAGGAGAAGTTAATAAATTCAAGTTTTACAAAATCTCTCTTCAGACTCGCGTGTTCGCCAAACTTCGATGGGTCATATTTTTCGTTCTGCCTTTTTTCCTGTTTTGCCCCCCCCCCCCTCCCTAGTAAAAATTCCTTAAAAAAGGCACTGTGCTATTTATTAGCTATTTTAACAATAGCTCTAAAAATAAAAGTAAACATAGTGTAAAAATAGCTATTTAATAGCCATTTTGACCAAAATTCGCTACAACTTTCTATGAATAGGAATTAAATAGCTATTTAAGATCTACTTATTTTGCTATTTAATAACTATTCTAGGAATGGCTCTAAAAATTAAAAAATAAAAGAAAACATAGTTTAAAAATAGCTATTTAATAACTATTTGGAACAAAGTTCGCCACAACTTTCTATGAATAGGAATTAAATAGCTATTTAAGATCTATTTATTTTCCTATTTAATAACTATTTTAACAATACTCAATAATATCTCCAAAAATAAAAGCAAACATAGTTTAAAAATAGCTATTTTATAGCTATTTTGAACAAAGTTCGCCACAATTTTCTATGAATAGGAATCAAATAGCTATTTAAGACCTATTTATTTTGCTATTTAATAACTATGTTAAGAATGGCTCCAAAGAAGATATGCAAAAATAGTTTAAAAATAGCTATTTAAACTATTCTAACTGACTCGTTTGTCATCAATAGGAATTAAATAGCTATTTAAAAGCTATTTTATAGTGAGATTCCGTCAATTACTCTTTCAAATAGGATTTGAATATCTATTTCAAAGCTATTTTTTTGAAAAATATATATAACCTATATTTTAAATAGGGAGTAAATAGTCATATACTATTTTATGAAATTTGATAAATAGTAATAAAATAGACATATTTTTGAAAAAATACGGAAAAAATAGGGCTAAATAGAGAAAAAATAGGTATAAAATAGGTTATAAATATGTCGGATTCTACAAGGGTACACACCATGCCAGTTATGGATAGCATTGGGATTGGTAATATTGCAATGCACACGAAGATGGATGAAACATTAACTGAGCTTGCAAAGATCATACAAAATGGTCGAAAATGGATACCAAAAACTTCGCATCCTAAAGTACGAAGGTTCGAGCAACTTATCCCAGAAATAACCATCACAGGAAACGGTGTTATGTTCAAAGGAGAGAGAATTATTCTTCCAGAGAGCCTGTAAGATACAGCAATTCAGCTGGCCCACAGAGGAAGTCACCTGGGACAGAGTGGGATTGAAAGGCGTTTAAGGTATCACTTTTTCTTCCATGACATGCATCCCAAAGAGAAGCAATTCGTCGAGAGTTGCAAAGAGTGCAATATGTTCAGTGACAAGAAGACGTCTGAACCAATTAAAGCACATGAGGTACCAAGAAAATGTTGGGAGACGGTTGCAGTAGATCTATTTGGCCCTATGCCGCCCTCAAAGCATATAGTTGTCGTACAGGACCTAGCTTCAAGATTTCCAGCAGCGAAGTTGGTTGCCTCTACGAAAGCTTCCCATGTTCTCCCGGCTATGGCCGTGATATATAATTCGTATGGAAACCCAGAACATCAACTCTCGGACAATGGACCACCATTTAACTCGGAAGCTATGGAAGCATTTGCGGAGAAGCGAGATATCCATTTGAAGAAGATCCCTCCATTGCACCCATTGGCTAATCCTGTGGAGACCTTTATGAAGCCGCTTGGAAAAACCATGAAAATAGCACACTATAATAGGTCCTCGGAGAAAGAAGCGCTTAACCACCTGCTGATGAATTATCGTGACACCCCACACCCAGCTACTGGTATTCCCCCTGCTACTATGCTTTTCAGAGAGGGTAGCAAGAGTGCCTTCCCAAGAAGATCTGTACCTCCAGAGCAAGTGGAAGAGGCTAGAGGAAAGGACAAGGCAATGAAGCAGGATCGTCAGGACCAAGTTAATGCATCTAAGTATAAGATACCATCAGAGTTTCAAATTGGAGATGCTGTCATGTTACGAAATTACACAAAGTCCTCCAAGTTTGATCCTGTATTCCTTCCACAGCATTGTGAGATTGAATGCTCAGATGATGGTCAGTGCCTAACTATCGAAAGAAAGCGTGATGGGAGGATCTTTAAAAGACACCCGGATGATGTCAAATGTTACTACGGACCGCATGATACAGTTATGGAAAGGGACGTAATATCGGATGAAGCTATCAAAAATGGGGAATGGCATAGATGGTTTTAGCAGTGTAGACCCAAGGTAGGTACAGTTATGAAAGCGGAAATCGAGATGAGGAAGATAAACAAGAGACTAACCACGTAGAACCGGGGCACGAGAATGGAGGCGAAGTAAGCAGCGCAAACGACTGCCCTGGATCTTGCATTCCTCATCAATCACAAAGGCTATGAAGACCTAACCCCAGATATATTGACTATGAAATGTAACATTTCACAATTATGGGTACATTTAAGGACTAACATAACTGTGTCATTACTATGGACTTCAATCAATTATACATATAATTGTTTTCTGTTAAAAGGGGGGGATAAGGTACCCTATATTTATATTTAAATGAAGTATTTAGTGGTATCATGTACATATACCGCGGGACGGTGAGAACGGGGATTCAAGTATGGCGGACGAGAAATGTTAGATATTAATTGATGTAGTGTGAGAAAAGATATATTAAATTGAACTTATATTAGCAAACTTCACTGCAAGTACCGCAAGGGTACTCATGGTGGACACGTTTTAAGACTTTTCTTACCATGTTTCTTACTCGATAAAGCTCGGAAAGTATTTTGAAATTACTCGGAAACACGCTGTGTTGTATACTATAGTTGCCCTATGCAAAGCTATAATGAACTAAAGTTACTGTTGCCCTGTTGTTTTGGCAGAGTGTGAGCGGATTTGCAAATTCAATGGCTGTTGTTCGAAGGAATTTGTGGAATGTGCAGTAATGAGTCTGTATTTTAGCGTGAGTCATCACTTTTATTGTCTAAATGCGACAATAAAAATCAACTCACACTATTAAAAATCTATCAAAATTGGTTTTGGGCGACAAAATATGCGAAAAATACCGGCCACTGCTCGAATATACTTTTCCCATATTTTTTGCCTGTTGATCTCTTCTTGAATGCTTGCCTACCATGTAAACATGCATCCTGCTTATAGCATGTCACAGGAAATTTGGCAATTTGCCCACCCCCAACTAAAAAATTATAGTTTACTTTATCTTTAGGCTCGGAAATCGTGAAGCTTCTTCTAAAACCGAAGTTCTAGAAATTTTTCTCAACATTTATAGTTAATTTGCATAATTTTTTGTGTCAAAATTCTCGATTGAATTGCAATACTGACGAGAGCTAAAGTTTAGAGTACTTTTTCGCATTTGGTTTCGGCCAGTCTTGTAGAAGACAACGTTAATAAATAATGACTGTATCATTAAGCTATGGAAACGAGTTTTGCTAATACATACGATATGTGCTTTTGTGTTCAAAACTTTGTTTTCGTTCAAACATTTGTGCTTTTGTGTGTGCAGAATGTTTTTGTGAGCAATGAAGCATGCAGTCAACTTTCGTTTTTACAGAATGCTAGTCAGCTAGTGTAATGAATCCCAACCATGTGAGCGATTATATATACTGTATATATGTGAGTAAAATGCATAGGAAAAGTTTTACGAAAGGTAACCACTTTTTGATTTTGTTTTTTGAACAAACATATTTAAAAATCAACTTTACGCGTGCATATTAACATATTCGCCAATGCATGATGTCATCGTTTGCTAAAGTGCGGTTCTTATTCTGACTAATATTATACTATGTGACTAAATTTATAGAAAAAAATCGATTCATGCCTTTAGCGTATATATATTTAGATGCAGGTTGTGGGTTTCATTCTTGGATCGCGGGTATTTTTGCGGACGTTCGTTAAAACAGCTTTGTAGCGTTGCTATCCCATTGTCTTTGTGTTGTTATGTCAAAAATACATCTAAGTAACAAACTTCAACCCAAATAGAGCTCGCGGACGGTGTTTAGCAGGCCCCAAAGTACTAGATAAAACATGAGCAACCAATCTGTATATCAAATATAGTTTGTATATCAGATGAAGATCAAATGCAAATGTTTTATCTATTACTAAAAACAACCCAATCTTATGAGTTCATTGGCAAAGTAATCTTAAAAATAAATATTGTCTAAGCCGAGAAAATCAAAGCTGAAGTTTATGTAAATCAGGATAAATCTTATCCTATTTACAAACTTGATTAAATAGTCATTTCTTTTGAATTTTCTTCATGAATTATTGTGTTTTTTCAGTTTGTTTAAATGTAGTTTGAACACACAGTTTTTTAGTTTAGATAGTTCAAAGCCAATTTTAATAAGGATATTTTTCTTCTTGTGATCTAGTATACAACATAATCATCCCAGGATTTCCTTGTGGCAAGCCTCCCCGCACAAGTGCGGAATTGAATTTCAGGGTCTAAATCGTCAGCATGGGCACATGTGCCACTCTCAGACTCAGATTCTGTCTCTTATCCAGATTATCTATGGATTCTGTATCTTTGGATTCATTTTCACTGGTGTCTTCAAACCGATGCTCGGGTGCATTTAGGTCTTTATCTATTTGCATGTACAAATGTGCCACAGTTAGCCTCACTTTCTCCATCTTCTTTCCGGTCATTGGCAGATTGTTATACTCTAAATATCTATCAAGCTCGTTCACCAGGAGTTTTCCTATTGTTCTCAATCTTTTCCACCAACTCTTCCCAGTTGTAATTGTGATAACCTTTGGGGCTTGTATTTCGTTTCTCTCTTTTTGTTTTCTGTGTGTTCGTATATCTCTTTCGTTCTTTATCCTCAACATAATCTTGTGTGAGATTTTCTGCCACAATAAATTTTTACTAAATCTTTCGATACTCTCGGTTATCGCTTTATGTTTTGCGCACAAATATAGAAAAACGTCATGTAATTACATTATAACTCTATATACATAGTATACACATCATACACATGAACCACAGCCAGTAAACATGGTATATGCAGTAAACACACTATACACACTATACAAGCAATACTACCCCACAGCCAGTAAACGTGGTATATGCAGTAAACACACTATACGCACTATACACACTGCACAAGCAATACTACCCCACAGCCAGTAAACGTGGTATATGCAATAAACACACTATCCACACTATACACACTGGACAAGCGATACTACCCCACAGCCAGTAAACATGGTATATGCAGTAAACATACTATGCAAACTATACACACTGTACAAGCAATACTACCCCACAGCCAGTAAACATGGTATATGCAGTAAACACACTATGCAAACTATACACACTATACAAGCAATACTACCCCACAGCCAGTAAACATGGTATATGCAGTAAACACACTATACGCACTATACACACTGTACAAGCAATACTACCCCACAGCCAGTAAACGTGGTATATGCAGTAAACACACTATACGCACTATACACACTGTACAAGCAATACTACCCCACAGCCAGTAAACGTGGTATATGCAGTAAACACACTATGCAAACTATACACACTATACAAGCAATACTACCCCACAGCCAGTAAACGTGGTATATGCAGTAAACACACTATACACACTATACACACTGTACAAGCAATACTACACCACAGCCAGTAAACCTGATATATGCAGTAAACACACTATGCAAACTATACAAGCAATACTACACCACAGCCAATAAACGTGGTATATGCAGTAAACACACTATGCAAACTATACACACTATACAAGCAATACTACCCCACAGCCAGTAAACATGGTATATGCAGTAAACACACTATGCACACTATACACACTATACAAGCAATACTACCCCACAGCCAGTAAACATGGTATATGCAGTAAACACACTATACGCACTATACACACTATACAAACAATACTACCCCACAGCCAGTAAACGTGGTATATGCACTAAACACAGTATGCACACTATACACACTGTACAAGCAATACTACACCACAGCCAGTAAACCTGCTATATGCAGTAAACACACTATGCAAACTATACAAGCAATACTACACCACAGCCAGTAAACATGCTATATGCAGTAAACACACTATGCAAACTATGCAACTATACAAGCAATACTACACCACAGCCAGTAAACATGGTATATGCAGTAAACACACTATGCAAACTATGCACACTCTACAAGCAATACTACCCCACAGCCAGTAAACATGGTATATGCAGTAAACACACTATGCAAACTATACACTATATTTATTATTATTAAATATATTTACTGATTTTGTAACCGAAGGTTAAATTACATCAGCTATACTACAAATAATTAAATATAAAGGAGTAAACTACTATTTACAATTTAATTTCGAAATAATTTGTGGTAAGAAGGATTTCTAAAACGTTCTGTTTTACAATAATAATTATTATATTTACAATTTCCCCTCGTATCATAGACCGAAGAGGATTTATTAGGTAAAAATTCATCCAATTTTTGAAGGTTCTCATCTCTCAAAAAGAACTGTTCGCATAAAATCTCACGTTGTTCCTTCAAGGATGGAATATTAATAAGTTCGCGTGCATCGTTATAGCTAAGTTCTGGTAAAATAATTTTCAAAGCTCTTCTTTAAACCCTTTCAATATCATCACTCAAATAACCTGGAATGTTGAAGTGCCAAACTTGGCAAGCGTATTCTAAGACTGGCCTTATAATAGTGGTAAATGCGATGCATAACATTCTAGTGTCAGCGTTGGCTCGTTTCAATAACCTGAGCATATACAATCTTTTCCCAGATTTCTTAACAATTTTATTAACGTGTTCATTCCAATTCATTTTGGTTTGGATCGTAACGCCGAGAATTTGAGCAGAATTTACACGTTCAACCTCAGTGTTCTCGATTAATAATGCTGGGAAATTCCGTTTTACCCTACCAAAGTCAAGGATCATTTCTTTACATTTAGTGACATTAAGTTTCATATTATTTGTAACCGTCCAATTATAGATATAGTCGACAAGATCCTGAAGATTACTGCTACAATCAACCATGACACTTTCAGTAGCCGTACTATCATCTACATACTTCCATCGGTCGGGCCATTCATCGAGGAGATCGTTGATCATAACCAAAAAAAGAACAGGACCCAAAACAGTTCCCTGCGGTACTCCTCCGTTTAAAACTTTCCAACTCGAAGACCAACTACCCAGCTTCACACATTGCCTCCGTCCAGTTAAAAAACTTTTAATCCAATTAAAAATAGTTGGGGGAACGTTCAATTCCAATAATTTATGCAACAAAATGTTGTGGTCTATCAGGTCGAAAGCCTTAGAAAAGTCAAGAAGAAACACTCTAAAGCCTAGTTCTCATTCATCGCAAACTGTCACCGACAATCGGCGACGCTTATCGCCGATACTCGCCGAGTGCGAATGCACAAAAGTTCTCATACATCGGTGATCGTCGCAGATGACAGCCGATGTGTTTCGAAATTTCCCAAATTTTCTACAAAATTCAACGTAAAGTTCATTATTTCTGTCAAACTTCAATTGATTATTTCCTTGCTTGTAGAGGAAAAAACAACTTTTACTCATTTCTCATAGATTTTTCAAGCAGGTGGCAGTCGGCGATGGTCGCAAGAAACAAACTTTTTTGTTTCCTGCGATGTCATCGCCGATGGTCGGCGACGATTACGGACAATCGGCAATATAATTTTTGATGTGTTCTCATAAATGGCAAGCGGTCGCCGACGTCGCAAAGCTCCCATCGCCGACGGTTTGCGATGAATGAGAACTAGGCTTAACGGCGCACTTTGACGCATCAGTTTCCTTTAATAAGTGATGTACCAAACTAATTAAATTATGAGTCATTGAGGAATTCTTCAAAGAGCCAAATTGCCTCTTATCAATTTTGTTCTTGATTGAACTAATCAACCAATCAGATAGAAACGATTCGCAGATTTTAGACAAAGTGGGTGTCAATGAAATAGGACGCAAATCGGTTGTTATGTCTGCAGGTACCGATATTTTTGGTATTGGAATAACTTCAGCGTCTTTCCATACTGCAGGAACGTGCTGTTGCTGTATCGAAGCATTAAAAAGTGAGGCAATTGGTATGGCTAAGATATAAGCATAATGTTTAAGTACCCAATTTGGGATGCCGTCTGAACCTGACGATTTCGAGACACATATATCAGACAATTTATTATACACACTTTCTTCGTCAATAATAAATTGGGGATGAATGTTACTTTCATTAAACTCGAACTGACTTTCTGTAGATTCTGGCTGTAAAGGTGTAATTTCATTAGTAATTGATATGAAGAAGTCGTTAATTTTATTTGCTAAAATATTTCCAACAACAATCTCATTGTCAAGGACCATAGACGATATTGCCTTTCTCTTCGGATACCCTGCGAATTGTTTTAAACAATCCCACCACTTTTGCGGGTTAGGATTAGATTTAAGCTGGTCCATTTTTTATCAAGATAGCTGGACCTCAGTTGTTTCCTTTTTCTATTGGCTAGGTTACGCAAATAATTGTACTTTTGGATATTTCTGTCATGATATGCTTTTTGCCTATCTTTAATGATTTCTTTGAATTCGGGCGTTACCCAGGGTTTATCATTAGCATGTAGTTTGATAATTTTAATCGGAAAGAAACAATCTAAACCACTGTTGATAACTTTCGTGAAAATATCTAGCTTGTCTTTACACGAGACAATACGATACAAAGTCGACCAATTATAATCAGCTAACCATTTTCCAAACGCTGTCGTGTTGGCATATATATTACGTCGAATTTTCACTTTATTGGTCTCGTTTTTTATCAGATTTCTTTTAAGTGTACATAACACAGAGCTATGGTCGCTTAGTCCAATAGGAGAGGTTACCAATGCAGGATTGCAACAGGCAGACATATTCGTAAGAATTAGATCCAGGGCAACATTTTTCCTCGTAGGTTTTTTGACAATTTGCTTTAGTCCGAAATGTCTTAGTAACGCTGAAACAGGACATCTATTAAAGTCACCGACCAGGAAAATTCCTGCATTTGGGTACTTCATAAGGGCTAA